CTACGTCCATCTTTTATACAGTCTATGGTTCTGCATAAAGAGCTACCTTCAGCAACAAGAAGAACAAGGAGCCCTGAAGCAGATGGTCTGGCCCCTCCAGAGCCCTGATCTCAGCATCGCTGAGTCAGTCTGGGATTACATGAAGAGACACTAAGACAGACTAAATTCGCAGAAGAACCGTGGTAAGATCTCCAGGATGCTTGGAGCAGCCAAGTAAAAACCGTGCACGTGTACTTCAGAGAGCCGATGCCGCTGTCGAGGCGAGCGGTTGCCTCATGAGCTAATTTCCGTCCAAATTTCGTGCAAACTTTAAACGGGGATGCAAATGAGCGTGCGTTTTTATCCGCCGCCGCTACGTGATTATTAGGAAACGAGATAAACAGCCGGTTGACACTAATTCTCCAGCTGAGTGGCGTTAAACCGGTGCAGGGGAAGATCGCAACAAGGTGACGTCATTCATAGCGCTTCAGTCACGCTTCGATTAGAACGACGGTGAAAGCGCGTTGGACATAATTACGTTTGTTTCATGTTTTAATTTGGGGGAATTTTCGTCTCTCCAGCAGAACAGAAGCATGTTTAATCCGATGCTTCATGAGTGAGTCATGACTGAGTCTGTTTCCAATACACTTTTGAAATTCTCCATAAATAACACACTCGCGCATGAAATTTTTAGTATCCGGACTCTCTTCTACTTTTATATCCTCTTAGAAATGTTTGCATCAGTTTCTCCAAGTCTGACTCCTCAAACACACTAAACTTAACGAGTAAATTTCTCATTTCGTGTCATTTCGACGTGATAAACATTAGCGTGGTTCCGCTGCTGGAACTCATCCACAGAAACAAATGTAAGTTCGTCAGTAGTTGTTGAGAAATTAAAAGCTGTCGTGTAGGAACATGAACTGCCTTAAAAAAAAAATTTAAAAAAACATTATCTGTTCAGATTGAGACATGACAAATCTGAAGTCAAAAGCTGGTTATCTTTTTTTGTATGACAAGGATGTAAATTTCAGCCAGATCTATCTGAATCAGTCACTTGTACGCGCCAGTATAGAACAAATCTGTCCATACGGTGGCTTCATGCAAGCAGCCTTTTGTTTTTATGCTTCATTTATGTGTGATAAATAACCACTAATTAGCTGATTCACAAACAAACCAGCAGCTGATTATAGTAGTTGTGTCTGCTGCTGCGATCATTATAGCTGATTAAACATAACTGAATTTACCGATTTGTTAAAAACAAACAAACAAACAAATAAAAAAAATAAAAAAAATCAATCCCTTTGGTTTGTGGATTGTTTCAAATCAGGACACACGGAACCTATAAACTGGTTCCAGAGGTATGATTTAGATCTCAAAAGGGCTTTGTGACAGTTTTCTGGTGGGTTTCCAGATAATAAAAGTGACATAATTACAATAAGTCGTGTCAGACCAGGAGATACAATCAATCACTGCTCCCAAAGCAGCGTTTAAGTAAAGAGGAACTCACCAAAAAACACAAAGAAAGTGACAAAAAAAACACAGGCGACGTGTCATTGCTATAAGAAAAATAAGACCCTCTGATAAACCCGCTGCTCGTACAACAACAGCGCGAGACAAAAACGCCCTGCGGGAGCTTCCAGCCGAATTAAGCTACATACATTCAGCAAGAAAATGCATGTCATTAAAAAAAAAGCCTGTTTGCACAACAGCCTTGTAATAGCTTTAACATTTGAAATGACCTCAAAATAAGTAAGTGGGAACATTAATGCTATTCATAGCGTTTCACTCAATGCATATTGAGAGCAGAGTGCTGGTCCGTGGGAGCTTAAATGATGCCTGAGGCAACTCTGGGCTTCCCACCATAATGATACAATTTGATTATAATGAATCATTAATGTAATAAGTTAACAAATCAAATTGCAAATGTCACTGTAATTACACACCATCTTCTCTTTGTAACCGGGCACACATACAGAAACATGTCTGCGATACGTGTACACACAAACATCACAACCACGCTGGATTTTGAACTGCTCTTTTGAGGACGCACAACTTAAATCGATGATGTATCATCTGGTGGGTATGCAGACAGGGTTACATAAGGACTTCCACTGACTTCATGATGCAATAAAGCGCTTTGTGCAGCTGCCAAATGTCATATATGTTCCGCAGCAAAGCACTAAATGTAACTCCTGCGAGCGGTTGCAGAGGGAAAAATGTTGTGACTCTGCAGCACAGTGTGTTGATGTTAACATGCACGAGGCTGCGAAGTCTTACAAGTGTGAGCGCCGCTAAACAGCAGACTCATCCCTGTTTACACAACTTTGACGTGATGATACATGGATGTGTTTACACGGCACTGAGGATAAAAATATAGCTGCTCCCCAGAAATGGTAAGAAAGAGAAGAAAAAAAAACATTCACCTGTGCTGAGCTGGTTGTATCTACTGAGCTGATAATAAATCATCCTTGAGTTGGGAGAGAAATAAAAGTCACGTGCTCACACGTTTTTAGTGGGTTAAAATCAATCATCACAGCATTTGTTGAAGTTTTAGCGAGAAGCCAATCGCCCGCCCGAGGCTCATTGATGTGCACAGTGTGTATGATCTCATCACTTAAAGGCTAATTTGAAGATAAAAGCTGTAATCCTCTGATGCCAATACAAACCAGCCACTGGCTACAGAAACACCGGAGGAGCTGCATTTTCTTATTTACATCTCAAACACCGCAAGAAAAACTGCATGCTCTCCCCTGTGTGATCGGACTTTTTTTTTATGCAGCCAAATCGATCTAAACACCTTAATCAGCTGATGTAAGGAAAGGAAGAAACCTACTTCGAGGCAACATCTCTGGAGCTGAAGATGAAAAAAAAGTGTTGTTGTTCGGCTTGGAGCCCCGACTAACTAGCCCATGAGAATTCAGATGCAAGTCTTCTTTAAAAACAGTGGAACAAAAGGGATCTCTCCCTCCTTTTTTTTTAACCCCCCTCAACTGCCCCTTCGATCTCTGCTCCCTCCAATTCAAGGCTGACAGGCAGACACCTGTTACTGCAGAGCAAGAGGCAGCAACCGTGATGGAATCTATTCTGGTAGAAAATAATGGTATAAAGTAGGACAAAAAAAAAATACAACCAGAGGACAAGAGGAAGCAGTGATGGCACGTACCTTCACATGGACCATACTTCACAGAAAGAGACACAAAAGTGCACCAAGTATCCCACATTTCTTTTGCTCCCCTCTGGTCAGAAAAGCAACAACAACAAGGCTCGTCCAAAACACTCATCTGTCCCGGGTCAGGACACAGCCAGCGATAGAGAGACACCAAGAAAGACATGGAGAGGAAGAGAGAGAGAGAGAGAGAGAGAGAGAGAGAGAGAGACCACAAGTGTCACTTGAGCTGACTGCGACTCCCCCTCTCGCTCTGTCTCTCTTTTCTCTCTCTGCCTCCTCGGGGGCCATGAAGCGCACACACACACACACACACACACACACACACACACACACACACTGTGCTCACCGAGGCACAAAGGTCCCCATGGCAACGGAGCATTTAGAAGCCCCGTGGCATTATTTATGCAACGTTGCATCACAATGGGCCCTCCCACCGGCCGACCCTGCCAAAAAAGCCCGCCGCTCGCCACTCACTCTCTGCCTCTCTCTCTCTCTCTCTCTCTCTCTCTCTCTCTCTCTCTCTCTCTCTCTCTCTCTCTGACCAGACCATCTGCACCTCCCTCCCTCCCTCCTTCCTCCCTCCTTCCTCCCTCCCCTCCCTCATCCACCATCACTGAAAAGCAAGGAAGGATTTTGGAGAAGATGGAAGGGAAGCGGGATGCCTACACACAAGCATGCCTACACACCCTGTGTTCTGCCTCAGTGGAACTCTATGGGCTGAGACGGGATGTGAGGAGCGTACGGGGGCAAAAAAGGAAGCACAGTTAAGT